AAGGAAATAGTTTTAATAGAAATAAAAATAAAAATGATAATGAAATTAATTGAAACAGTAAGAGTATTCAGATATGCTATCAACAAATGAACTGTTAAAATTGGAAAATAAAAATGAAGAATTGAATTCAATGTAGAGCGAAAAAAATTTCCTTCACAAATTTTCATATTTTAACCATTAGCATTACCAATGATTGCATATACCAGGTGTAAACTGATTCATTAATTTTTTTCAATCTCTTAGTTAACCATACTTGAAATTCATTTACTTTGATACAATTAAACGATGCTGACAAATGTTAAAAAATAAACAGTAAAAATTTAGTGCTAAAAATAATATTCATAAAATATAAAAGACAATCATTAAATTTTTAGTGAAGAGGGAAATAATTTTGGTGGAAATAAAATGCGAATAAAATTAATTAACCAAGGATGATCAATTAGTTAAATGTTAAACTTTTTACAAATATTATTTGCTCAGATTGGTGCTATTAAAACTGAAAAATAAAAATAAGCAATTGAACTCAAAGTATTTTTCTTTTTATTGATACTATCTTATTCAACTTTTGACCATATCATTATCAATAATAATATGTAGTCAGTGTAAATGAATCTTTCAAAGATCTACAAAATTTATCCCTTATCACACATACTTAGAATTCAATTGCTTTTATATGAAAGATTATTTCGAATGATTGAAAATTTCGTTTTCCTTTTATTTTATTTTAAACTTTCATTTTAATTTTTCATTTTAAACTTTTTCTCAGTTTATTTTTATTTTTTCTTTTCTCCTTATTTTCTCTTTTTTTTTTCATTTTAACTTATCATTTTCAACTTTTTTTGATCTAAATTTTATTTTAAACTTTCATTGCAACTTTTCATTCCTAACTTTTTTTGGTCTAAATTTCATTTTAAACATTTTTTGGTTTATTTTTATTTTTCATTTCGACCTTTCCCTTTTTTCTTTTTTGTTTTTTTGTATTCCTTCTTTTTTCCGTTATTCTCTGTTTCGTTTTCTTTTCCTTTTCCTTCTTTTCTTTTTTCTCTTTTTTTCTCGTTATTCTTTTTTATTTTCATTCCCCTTCGTGCTTTTTATTCTTTTTTTTTGTTTTTAATTTAAAATTTTTTAAAGTTATTTTTCTGTTTTATTTCCATCTATTCCTTTAAATTTACTGACCTGTTTGACCACTTTTGTTGGAGAGAAGATAAAAGACTGGATTAGGCAATGAAATGCTTGGCCACATGTGAATGCCAAATGATGTTACTGGCCTGAAAGAAAAATTTACTGACTAGAGAAATCGACTCGTGAATATTTTTATTTCCTATAATCATTCGATTTTTTTTTTTCTGTACTTCTAAACTTCGCCTCATGCATGTTACTAACTACGGAAACACGATCATTCCAAGTGTTATTATAATTATAAATGATCAATGCTGATATTTCCTTCCACTAGTAGTACCATGGACAATTCTGCCTACGATACTTCCAAGTTCCTTTGGAGTTGTTCCGGAAGATTTCCCAGATCTCCAGGTTGGAATTCTTCCGGTATAGCAGCAGTCAACACTGCATGCATAGCCAAAAGCAAAATTCTGATTATCCGTGATCTTCTAAAATAAATTTAAATCTGGCCAGATTTATCCGTTTCATGCGATCAATAAAATTCAATGCTTATTTTAGTTCTTTTCCTGTACATTAAAGCAAGAACGATTTCTCGGAATGCTTCCCCCCCCCCCGCCTCCTCCAACATCATTTATCTTCGCTGATATCGTCGACATCTCAGGACTTTCTTTGCTATCGTCTGATAAAGTGGCCCACTCCCTTTCCGCTAGTCCATTCCTCGGCTTCATCATCACTTCCCATTCTGCTTCTTCGTTAAATCCCGGTCCTTCCAGTATTTTTTCTTGTCACCAACCTCCTTCCCGCCTCCTTCTTGTGGGTCAATAGCAGTTTTTTCATACCTGAAAAGCATATGATGATAATTATATCGTTCTTTTCAGGCTAAATCTATCCTTTTAAAATTAAAAATTTAACACTTCACTACTATGGAGTATTTACAGCATAAATTTAAGGTTTTAAATTCCGAATTTAAATTCCTAATTCTGTTCATCGAGATGAAGTGAAATCAATTTATGAGAAATAAACGATGCGAAGGTGAAATAAATTACCTGCTCCGTTATTCCTATTATCTATTCCTATTATGTATTATCTATTCCATTATCCATTATTATACTTTCCTATATTTCCATTATCTATTCCTATTATCTATTCCTATATTCAATTCCTATTATGCATGAAATAATGGAGAATTTCGGGTATATTCGGAAGTTCTGGCTTCTGTTCATCGAGATTTTTCTATTCTGGAAAATCAGCAAATTTATCAAATATTTATAAACTATAAAGGAAAAAAAAACACATTGTTACACTTGAACTAGTATTGTTTATCAATTATAAAAAGCTTATAACGTGATAATTTCATTCTCAATACGCCTAACAGTAACCTAATCAAATAATATATTAGCCAAAGTAAACGGTATATAATGTCACCTTCCTCAGTAGTATATTAGAATTGCTTTGTGCAAATATTGCAAATACAATTCAAGATTGTATCTCTTAAAGTTCTTAAATTAATCTTTACCTATTAAATACTCTTAAAAAGGGAGTTTTTTTTTTTTTACTTAATTTGTGCATTTTTAGTTGTCTCTCTTCTTTTTTTCCACCTTCTCATTGCATGTTTACAACTTCACTTGCATCTGCATGTTTACAACTTCACTTGCATAATTATCAGATAATATCTTGCATTTCATGTATTTATTGATTATTCCTTTCTTTCTTTTTTCTAGTATCTTGAATTTTTGGATTACCTTTATTTAACAGTATGCTTTGTTTGTATACTTTCTTCCAACAGTTGATGCATATTGTTGATGCATGCTTATTTTTTGTCATGTTTTGCAACTGCATTGTTTTCTTCGTAGTTATTTTGAATAAATTTTGTAAAATCAGATTAACAGAATGTTTGTAACAGTGAAGATTCGTATGAAATTCAAATTATTTCATAAAATCGAAATTAACTTAACTTAGATCTTAGAGAAATT